ATGTCCTCCACCAAACACTCATCCCATGGTTACCGAGGCAAAAACAACATTTGAAAACATCTAAAGTTTAAACTTGGTCACCACACTTGAAATTGACATCATTTCCTACTCTTCTTATACCATAGCACTCAAAAATTCCTAATGGCGTCAAGCCACGTCTGAGGAGTTTGATGCCTTGTCAAGAAATGGCACATTGAAGCTTGTCTATCCCCTCAAATACTAAAATGTTGTCGACCGCAAATGAATTTTTCATGCCAAACGTAAATCTGATGGTTCTCTACAAGACTTTAAGGCCCGTAGAGTCCCCAAGGATTTTCATGAGCCTCAGATGTCGATGATGATGAATTGTTTAGTTCGATTGTCAAACATACGACTATACGATTCATTCTTAGACTCGCCTTGACACATAAATGGCCACTTAGTCAGCTTGTTGTTAATAATTCATTTTTACATGGTACACTAACATAAATTATTTACGTCTCAACCTCCAAGTGTCATTGATTAGACGTATTTGCATTAAAGTCTTATCAATGGCTTGAAACTGGCACCCCATTCATGGTATCATGAACTTCAAAATTTTCTACTCGCCAATGGTTTCACCAATTCCAAATCTAACACCTCGTTGCTTATCTACAACTCCAACAATGCCAATTTTTTGTTCTTACGTATGTTGGTGACATTGTTGTCACGATCAAGTCGGGCATCCATTAGTTCATCATACAACTTGTGGTATCGACTCTCTATTATTTACTCGATCACAATCACGTAATTTGGGTGCTTCGCAAGCAATGCTATGTTGATCAGTCATCCATTGAAGCAGAATATTCTGTCATTGTTCCCACAGCTTGTGAGGATGTCAAGATGTAGTCTAACTAATTTAACTTGGTAAACCTCTCCTCCAGGCGCCTTCATATATTGTTGTTATGAAACCAACCATCGGATTAAGATGTTGAAGTTATATGACACAATAATGAAGTATTATATCAAGTAAAAGAATAATAAAACAAGAATATGGTAGAGAAATTAAGGGATTTTATAAACTCTGGAATAATTGAGAATAGATAAAATTAAAATGGATCATATAATTCTAATAATCTATTTTTTCACACTTTAAAATTGTATAAAATAGTCTAATATTTATAGAGAATACGTAGGGGACGTTCAAACCCTCCTAGTAGAGTTGTTGATAAAGTAGGATACCAAATAATCGAGTCCAAAATAAATTACAACTCTCAATGAGCTTCCGAAATAGAACTTCAACTTGACATAAGATTTCAATAGCATTCCAAATTGAATTCTTCTTGACATGCATTTCAATTAGAATACTTCAATTACTTCAACGAGAAATTCAGGTCACACCCAAATTTTAATAATCTGCACCTTGACACGAATTTCACTGCAACGAACAAAACTCCAAAATATTCTTCACTTGGAGAATAAAATCCGCCTGTAATGAATAAACCGACTCTTCAACAATAACCAAAACTAATTTCTCTAACCAAACACAAAATATTCCACTTCTTCCAATGAATCCAAGTACAAATATGTAGAATTACCTCAAATTCCCAAAAATTGTAATGATTTTAAAAATTACCAAACTGGGTTGTAACACACTCCAAGGAAGAATCAATACTAAATACTTTTACTGAAAGCCTCTTGCTATATTGTACACTTTTTACTACACTGAAAGCATGCTAAAAAAAATAAGAATTTACATATCTTTTACCACTGGGTTTGTCCCTAGCAATTGAATACAATGGCACCGCAGGTAATGGTGGTAAAGCGACATTATCCATATTTTTTGAACTCAAGTTAGCAGTATTCTTCAAATTCGACCTTTTACGAACTCATAAAGGTATTGTACTAAACTGAATGTCCACTATGGTATTGAATTTGTGCTGATTGACTCCTCTAGATTGTGCATGATCCTGCAAAATGTATAACTGAGACCTCTTCTATCCCTCCAATATAACCTGGGCACCCTTACAAACCTTCAAAACTCCACCGCCACCAAAGAACTCATAACCCTTTGAATCAATGATAGACAATGAGATGAGATTCTTCTTTAAATTCGAAACATGTCAAACCTGGTCAAGTGTTCTAATTGTCCCATCCAATATCTCCAATCTGACCGTAGCAATTTTACCAACTCGACAAGATGTGTTGTCTCCCATAACCACGACACATTTGGAAACAGTTTCATATATAGTAAACAAGTTCTTATTAGTACACATATAAAACACACATAGTGAATCCAAAATTCAATCCTCATCCGGTTTAGACTCGATGTCAGAAAGAACCAAGAGATCTCCCTCACTTACAATGTTCTTTGCGAGGTCTGTTTCACTTGAAGTCTCTGATTGCTTCCTATATCGACTTGTAGTCAACCTTTCCTTATAGTGCAATTTGTAACAATCATTCTTCATGTGCCTTTGTTCTTGCAATATTTATAAATCTGATTACTGAATTTAGACTTCGATCTGCCATTTCTAGAACCACCATGAGCAACCAACTATTCTCCATCTCTAGCATCAGAAACCAAATGCTTCATCTTCTCTTTTGAATAGAAAAGCATCATACACCTCCTCTATGGTGAGAATATCACGACTATATAAGTTTGTGTCTTTAAATGAAGAAAACGAAGTAGACAACAAACACAATATGATCAAGGTCAAACCTTATTCATCATACTTTACTTTCAAAGTTTCCAAATCAGGGACGATCTCTTTAAATACGTCAGGTGATCTTCCAATGATCCTCCTTTTGCCATTCAATAAGAGTATAAACGTTGCTTGAGATGCAACTTGCTTGTAAGACTTTTAGTCAAGCACAATTGGTTCAACTTCAACCATAGAGCAGCTGCTGAAACCTCTTTTAAAACGTCCTGAAGAATGGTATTCGATAGATGAAGATGAATGTAAGAAATTGCCTTCTTATCCTTCCATAATTTCTCCTCTGCGGTCAAAGTTGCTGACATCTTGTCAATTCCCAACAACGCATCATTCAAATCCAGTTGTGCGAGTATTGTACGGATCTTAACCAGCCATAGTGAAAATCTAGTGCTCCGATCCAAAAGCGAAATGTCATACTTCATGGAAGCCATCACGAATAAAAACCTCAAACAAATTAAACGCTGTGCTCTTGCAGAACTCCTGAACCTAGCGCTCTGATACCACTTGTGATGAAACCAATCACCGGATTGAGATGCTGGAGTTATATGGCACAATAATGAAATATTAGATCAAGCAAAAGAATAATAAAGACAAAAAATATGATAGAAGAATTAAGAGATTTTATTGACTCATGAATAATGGAGAAAATATAAATTTACAATGAATCATATAATTCTAGTAATTTATTTTCTCACACTTTAAAATTGTATAAAAGAGTCTAATATTTATAAGGAATATCAAATATGTAGGGGACGTCCAAACCCTCCTAATAGAGTTATTGATGAAGTAGGATACCAAAAAATCGAGTCCAAAACAAATTTAACTCCCATTGAGTTTCCAAAATAGAACTGCAACTTGACATAAGATTTCAATAGCATTCCAAACTGAATTATTCTTGATGTGCACTTCAATTAGAATTCTTTAATTATTTCAATAAGGAATTCGGGTTACACTCAAATTCTAACAATCGCGATAATCTTAGCACCATATATTTATGCTCCAATCCAGTTTTCCACTCTGGCATGAAGTACATTGACATCGATATTCACTTCGTTCGTGACTAAGTCCAAGATGATGATATCAGTGTCTCATATAGCCTTTCCTCACTAGCTTGATAGTGCCTTGACCAAGACGTTATATAGTAGCTAGTGTTTGTCTTTGATTGGACCACTATCTTGCAGGGCATATTAGAGATATTAAAAGATAAGACCATTATTTAGTTAATAATGTTGTATAGTTAGCTCTTGTATAACTGCAACATTAGAATAGGATTACATATATCATAGCTCATTTAGAATAGAACTATTGTATTCTAGATCTATAAGGTTTGTGTATGTTCAAACTCTATAAATATTCAATGAATGAAATGCAACAAATAGGCTGTTTCAATAGCTCAAACATGTTATTATGAATGTGATATTAGAGCCCGTTAAGCTCGAACGAGGAATTCGATTGGAATGAAACTCAAACAATCACATAAATTTCAAAATTGTACGTTTGTGTGAGCCATCTTGCAGGCGGTTAAATATAAAAATATTAATCAACACATAAGTTAAATATTTAAGATTAAATCTATTTTGATAACCAGAGCAAGCAAATGTCTTGAATTCAAGTCTCAACTTCACCCATCTAATAAAAATGTACACGTGTCGATTTAATAAGAAAAAAAATAATGTTTCTTACAAGTGATATGTTGAAGGTAATGTAAATAGTATGCATGTATAATTGAGAGATGCTATACGATATCTGCTCAGTCTCTGTTAGCAACTTCAGTAGGATTCGGGTCGCAGTTGATTCATCTATCTAGGAAAAAAAAAGGTGAATAATTGAGAGATGCTATACGCTAGCTTTACCGGAAATCTCCCCTGGACTCGTAATTGTGTGTTTAATATTCGAAAAACCGATTGATAACTACCGACACTCTTGGAAGGTTAAAACAGAAAATGTACATTTTTACAATTAATTTCTTGAGAAAAAGACAAATTGGATCGAACTGAATCAAATCAGAAAATGTACTTTCTACAATTAATTAGTTTTTAAATCATTATAATCTAACAACTCATAAAAAATGACTATCTAATATTCATAATTCAATTGAATGTGTAATTACTAATTACTAACACATGAAAAAATTCCAACAAAATCCACGAAACCAACCCAACTTACACCAAACGCATTTACATAATGGAGCCAAAAAGATTAAAATAAGAAATTACACCATGGTCCACAAGAAAAGGTAGCAATTCTTGATAGATAAATGTGACAAACATGTAATCTTTCTGAAGACGCAAGAAAAAATCCTTACCCGAGTCAATCCAGTCGTTAGCTATGGTGGTGGAAACCATTTTCCGGGGGAATCTTCTATTTCTTTTTCTTTTCTTTCTCCTTTCCTCCGCCAGCTCAGCAAAGGCAAACGAGCTGCAAACACTCTTATCCATCAAATCTGCCTTACAAGGATCCAACACCAAAGTATTTGATTCCTGGGAATCCTCCAATCCTATGTGTAACTTTTCTGGAATCACTTGTGATTCAAGTAAGGCAGTGAAAGAAATTGAACTCTCCAGACAGAATCTGACGGGCTTAATTCCGTTGGATTCCATTTGCAAGCTAAAATCCCTGGAAAAACTCTCCCTGGGATTCAACTTTTTGTATGGCCCTGTTACTGGTGAATTAAACATGTGTGCTTCTCTCAGGTATTTAGACCTGGGGAACAACTTTTTTTCTGGATCATTTCCAGGTATTTCGTTGCTCAATGGATTAATGTATTTGTATGCAAATAGAAGTGGATTTTCAGGAACTTTTCCTTGGAATTCTCTTGAAAACATGACGAATCTTGCTGTGTTAAGCCTCGGAGACAATCCCTTTGATCGAACTCCTTTTCCTTCTGCGATTTTGAAGCTCACGAAACTGAAGTGGCTATACTTGTCAAATTGCAGCATTGAAGGGAAAATTCGGGACGGGATTGGAAATCTTGTTGAGCTGATGAACCTGGAATTATCACATAATTATATAACTGGGGAAATTCCTGTTGGGATTTCCAGACTGAGAAAACTATGGCAGCTTGAGCTTTACCAGAATGAACTAACTGGGAAATTACCTGCTGGATTTGGAAGTCTGTCGAGCTTGGAATATTTCGATGCTTCAAACAATAATCTTACGGGAAATCTTTCTGAAGTTAGAAGTTTGAGTCAGTTGGTCAGTTTTCAGGTCTATAAAAATGAATTTTATGGCGAAATCCCACATGAGCTGGGAGAATTCAAGAAACTGGTGAACTTTTCCATTTACAAGAACAGACTTTCAGGGGAGCTGCCAGAGAAGCTTGGTTCTTGGTCGGAATTCCATTTCATCGATGCCTCGGAGAATTATTTCACAGGTCGGATACCACCGGACATGTGCAAGAAGGGTACTATGAAAAAGCTCTTGATCCTGCAGAACAATTTCACAGGCCAAATTCCAGTAACTTACGCGAATTGCGAGAGTTTAACGCGTTTTCGTGTGAGCAAGAATTTGCTTTCCGGCAAGGTTCCTGGCGGTATATGGGGGCTGCCTAATGCTGAATTGATTGATGTTGCAGAAAATAACTTGGAAGGGCCAATTACTTCTGATATTGGAAAAGCAAATTCTTTATCTAGCCTCTTGCTTGCTAAAAACAGATTCTCAGGTGAATTGCCATCAGATATTTCAAAGGCTTCGGCTTTGGTTTCTATTGATTTGAGTTACAATCAGTTTATGGGTAATATTCCCCCAACAATTGGTGAACTCAAGCAACTAAACAGTCTTCAGCTGCAGGCCAACAAGTTATCTGGTTTAATACCAGATTCCTTAGGCTCATGTGATTCCATCACTGATATTGACATGGCTCATAATTTTCTTACCGGTCAAATTCCAGCCTCTCTCGGGTCTTTACAGACTCTTAATTACCTGAATTTGTCATGGAATGAACTCTCTGGTTCAATTCCTGGGAGTTTGTCCTCTCGCAGTCTAAGCCTTCTCGATCTCTCAAGCAATCAATTGATCGGTCCCATACCGGAGTCTCTTTCAATTGAAGCTTACGGTAACAGCTTTGCAGGAAACAATGGCCTTTGTAGTGACAAAATCAGGAAATTCCGTCCATGTTTATCTGAATCAGGCACTTCTAGGCACCTTCGAACGGTCTTATTCTGCTTCATGGTAGGATTCATTATCATACTCCTGATTGCAGGCTTCTTTTGCATAAAGAAGACAAGCAAAACAGAACGTGGACGATCGCTGAAGGAGGGTTCTTGGAATGTAAAGCCTTACCATGTTTTGAGCTTTACAGAAGATGAGATTCTTGCTTCCATAAAGCAAGAGAACATAATAGGTAAAGGTGGTTCTGGCAATGTTTATAGAGTTGTTCTTGAAAATGGCATAGAATTGGCTGTGAAGCACATATGGCACTCTAATAATACCAGTAACCGGAAAAAGATCTGCAGCACAACTCCAATGTTGACGAACTGTGGATTTAGGTCACTGGAATTTGAGGCCGAGGTTCAAACATTGAGCTCAATAAGACATATTAACGTGGTTAAGTTGTATTGTAGCATTACTAGTGAGGACTCAAGCTTACTGGTTTATGAATATATGCCGAATGGAAGTTTATGGGATAGATTGCATACTTGTAGAAAACTAGCCCTTGATTGGGATACAAGGTATGAAATTGCTGTTGGTGCAGCAAAAGGATTGGAATATCTGCATCATGGTTATGACAGGCCAGTGATTCACCGCGATGTCAAATCGAGTAACATTTTGTTGGACGAGGATTTAAAACCTCGGATTGCAGATTTCGGACTTGCAAAGATTGTTCAGGAAAATTCGACCAAGGAATCATCGACTCAAATCATTGCAGGAACTCGAGGGTATATAGCTCCTGGTAAGCAAATCATTAGTACTATGTAGTAATTGAATTCATCGTTTATTAGTTATTCTGATGATTTTAATTTAAGTGCAACAAATTATTATATACAGAGTATGGCTATACAAACAAAGTAAACGAGAAGAGTGATTTGTACAGCTTTGGAGTAGTACTAATGGAGCTTGTGACGGGGAAGAGACCAGTCGAGCCCGAGTTCGGGGAGAACAAGGACATAGTTGATTGGGTATACAGCAAGTTGAAGAGCAAAGAAAGTGTTCTAAGCATAGTGGACTCAACTATTCCACAAGTTCAGAAGGAAAATGCTATTAAGGTTTTGAAAACTGCTATTTTGTGCACAGCCAGAGTTCCTGCATTAAGGCCTACTATGAGAACAGTGGTTCAAATGCTAGAGGAAGCTGAGCCTTGTCAATTAGTCGGCATCATTGTTGGTAAAGATGATCAAAAGTAAGAAAAGGGAAGTGAGAGAGAATGTCAAATTGTAATTCATGCCCCATAAGTCCATGGAAATTTGTAGTTACTTTCAATAATTTTGGCATGGGTATATGTTTTAGATTACCTTTGTAACATATTAGCCATTGTAGGATCGCAGGTTCATAGCACAGAGGTTCGCTGAGATAGCACGTACCTCGAAGTGCTAAATGAACTTGGTACAAGTAGCTTTTCATTTTTCTTCTTGGTTGTATAGTAGCGTGATTCAAACTTTTGCAATTCACCCTTCGGGACATGTATGGCACGTAGCACTCAATAATAGAATGTATTAAATGTTAAGAATGTGAAGTCAACAATATGATTTCATAACAGCTTACCTTCACATGACAATTTATCATTCAAACAATGGGAGAATTTAGAACAGAGGGAAAACTTTATTTATTTATATTGATAATCTGACCATGTACATTGATTGATATTATACAAGCAGAAATTTAAATACCAAAATAACTACTATATAATATAATTACATTATGAAAAATCTTAACTGAAAAAAAATAAATAAAAAAAATTCTAGAAAATTGGATTTCTTCAAACTCTCCCCTCAACGTGATTCTAAGATGTCTATCATTCTCAACTTGCTTGTCAAACTATGGAAAGGTTGTGAGGAAGTCCTTTGGTAAGAATATAAGCTCCTTGTTGTTCAGTCATTCCAAGTGGCAAGCAAACTAGTCCCTCTTCAAGCTTTTCTAAATGAAATGTGGATCCACCTCAATATGTTTGGTACGATCATGTTGCACAAGATTGTTTGCAATATTTATTATAGTTATCACAAAACAGCTTCATTGGACCTGTAAACTGAACTTTCAACTCTCAAGAATTTGTTTCAGCCATAACAGTCCATATATTCCTCGAGCGACATGTCATGGGACTAGATTTCTTACACTAGAAAAATTAGACACCGTGCGGCCTTAACGCAACACAATTCCCGTCCCTACGAGAAAGCGCTAAGTCAGCCTTTCGACGCCCCCAAAATGACTTAACCGTGTAGGCTAAATCAAGACAAACTTTGAGTATGAGATTTGAAGTAATAAAGACAATATCGAGAAACAAGTAAGTTTGGGAGAAAATCTCTCTTTGTATAAAAACTCCACACTAATGTAATCTACAATGTGATTTAAGAATTATATGAATAGCATGAATCCCATAAATTGCATGCCTTCCAACAATTCTCTCAACTCACATATACTACTTGAAATTCTAATGTATAAATTACAATGGGACTCCATCCCTATTTATAGGCAAATCCCATGTAAACCTCCTTAGATTTAATGGCTAGGATCAATCCTCATCAATCCCCATCCAAGGGTCCCCATTGGCTACAATTTGCCTTAAACCTCCTTAGACGAAGTGGAAGCAAACTTGGACTTTGCTTCTTTGCAAGTGGATTTTCCCTACAGAACTCCCATGTGATTAATGTCTCTTTCATAGACATCAATTTGAGTTTGGCTTCCTCCCTTGGCCATTCTTAGGCAAGTTGGTTAAGTAACCAACTTGGACAAGTCTTCCCAAAATATCCCAACAATCTACCCATAGTATTTTCCTCCAGAAAACCACCTGGTATGCTGGGATTTACTGCCCATGTCGCGCCCATGTCACTCCCNCCTGACTGCAACCGAATTTTCCAGTCATCACCTAGACATGAACCCGACACAATGGACACCGGTCATCTCCCTATGAAATTAGGTAACACCGGCATCGCCGTGTACGGTTGAAGTTTAGACCTAATCAACCAAAGGTCTACTTCATTTTCCCACTTGGTGCCAGACATTCTCGTGTCATGCCCAATCTCGTGTCACTACCATGTGGTCCGTGACAGACAACTCTAAATTCTACTTTGTTACTATTTCTATCAACAACATACTATCTTTTGACTATATTAAGTTACTAAAACCTTGTTTGGTCCCCATTTCTTAAAACTCATTTTTATCTCAAACTCATTTTCAATCTAACATTTCATAGAATTTACAACTTTTATCAACTTTTCAACTCTACATTTCTTTAATTTTTATCATAATCTACTAAAATCTAATTTTTATCCAAACCAAACAGAGGTTAAACTTTTCACCAACAAATGTACAAAACCCGATGTAGACATCTCTCATGATTACTTACTGAACATGCCAAATATACATTAGTGAACACAATATCATGGACTTCTCTTAAGATATCTAAAGATTGTAAAAGTTGTATCAAGATGTTCTTCACGTGGTACCTGCATAAACTATATAATCACACTAGCAAGGAAAACATTATCATCGTGAGTATGAGAGTGAACAATCAATGTTGGGGGCGGAAAAAGGTTATATGACACGATATGAAGTATTAATCACAACAACAAAATGAATACAAAAATAAGAATTTAATTTGGAAGAGGGATTGGAGATTTTATTCGTATATAATGGAGAAACAATTAGAGTAATAATGTGTACCTACACAATTATAACTTTCAATAATAAATCAGCTCATAAAGAAGAGACAACTATATATATGGGACATATTAAAACTCTAGCAATATTCTTAAAGATAGAAATAGTATAAAAAAATGTAGAATAAAGGAAACAATATTTTCCAAAAAAAAACCCAACTGGAATTTGAGTCCCAAACTCAACAATCTCCACATTAACACAAATTTCATTACAACGAACGAAACTCCAAAATTTCTTCACCTGGAGAAAAAATCCGACTGCAACGAATGAACTTAACTCTTCAACAACAACTAAACTAATTTCTCCAACGAAACAAAAATTATCCACCTCTTCCACGATATCCAACTAGGATATATGAATTCAAGCACCGTTCTGCAGAATTACCTGGGGTTCAACCAAAAATCACAAATGATTTAAACTTACCAAGCGGGCTAAAACACACTCTGATACAGACTCAACACCAAATGCTTTTGTAAAAGGCTCCTTGCTAGACTCAACACCTTCAAATATACTTAAAGCATTCGCAACAAAATCAGTATTCACGTACCTATCTTCTGTGGGTCTGACCCTAGCAATTGATTATGATGGCACGAGAGTTGGTTGAAAGTGGCATTACATGTATCCTCCGAACTCAACTAAATTGTATTCTTCAACATGGACCCAAATCAAATCTTAATGGTATCGTACCAAACTAAATATCGACTACGATACTAAACATTTGTTGATTTTGCTACATGGATTCTATACAACCTTACAATACGTATATCTGGGACATTTTTTCACCCCTCCAATACTACACAGACACCTTTGTAAACCCTCAAAGCTCCACCTCCACCTCTACATCCACCAAAGAACTTGTATCGTTGTGAATCAAGAGTATTCAATGAGATGCGATTTTTCTTCAAATCTGGAACATGTTGAACTTGATTAAGTGTTCTAACTGTCCCATCCACTAGCTTAAGTTTCACTCTACCAATACTATCCATCGACAATGTGCGTTGTTTCCTATGACCACGATACTCCCATCGAACTGTTTCACATGTTGAAAGCAAATTTTGATTGAGACACATACAAAATGTTATGCAATGAGAATACATACCCTAGTTTAGGTGCAATTTGCTATTTAGACTATTAGCCATGCACAATTAATCCAATTTCAACCACAACGCAACTTGCATTTTCTCCTTCAAAACGTCCCGAAGAATGTTATTCAAAATTTGAAGATGAATTTTGAAAGTGCCTTCCGATCCTTTTGTTATTTTTCCTTAGTCAATCAAGTTGAGGGCATCTTATCAAATCCCGACAATGCATCATCCAATATTATTAAAGATGTAAATAGTATAAAAAATGCATGTAATAAATGAAACAATATTTTTTTAGAAGAACCTAACCGAATTTGAGTCACAAAACCTATACTCAATTTACCTAACAACCTTTGATACTTTTCCTTCTTGGTTGGAACACCTATTCAGCAAACTCCAAGTGGATGATTGGGATCAATAAGCTTCTCAACAGCCTTAAAACCAAGAGTACCAGTTTCTTTCAATAAATGGAATGTATATGTCCTTTGAGAGAAAATACCGCCAAGGGCCTAGATCTTTAATTTCAAACTCTTTAACATGTATCTTTTTAAACAAGCAATCTTAAGTAAATAGTTGCTAGTTATGGCAATAACATCGACATATAGCCCATGTTTGGTGGCCTTGATTTCAAAAAAAACTATATTTTGAATAGTATTTTTTGAAGAATGTATTAAGGAAAGGTTTTAGGTTTACATGTAAAATATTTTATTTTATGAATCTGCAGTTGAAAATGAGTATGGGAAATAAATTAAAGTAAGGTAAAGGGAATCAAATAGGGGCATAGTCTATAAGAATACCTACATTTCCATCCAAAGCATGTTTAAAGAAAAGAGTACGATCTCACTAACATTGTATATAATCATGTTGTTTAATAACTCTTGTAAACCTCTCGAATTGAGCTAGGAGACTATTTTAATCTATAAAGGGATTTCTTGAATCTTATTATCATCTTCAGTGTCTTATCAAAGTCTTGTGGAACATGCATATAAACTTCTCTATCAAGTACACCTTCAAGAAAACCTTTTTTATATCAAGTTGGTTAAATAACCAGCTGAAAATTAGTAGCTAATGATAGTAAAATTCACAACTTCGCAGCATGAGCAAAAGTTACGCGAAAATCAATCACATAAGTCTGTATGAACCATTTTGCATCCAATCATTCAACGTCGCCATCAACGTTGTATTTAATCATGAATACCCACTTACAACGTACTAGTTTTTTACCATCCGGTGCTACTACCTGTTGGAATTTTGTAGGATTAATTATTGACCTCATGTTTTGATTATAACAAACAATTTTTTTTATCTCTAACATTTGAATTTGAGCATTCATTGCTTTTGTTGCAAAGTTGATTTATTGGAAACAAAAAAATTGCTACCAAAAGACTCGCAATTGACGATCAACGAAAATCGAGATGGAAGCTGAGCATTCATGTCAAATCAATTGA